AGCTGTTGTGCTCCTGGCTGGTGCTTCTGTTCATGGGCCCCTAGGGCCCCTGCCATGGGAACACTATGCATGGTCTAATCTGGGTGCTGCATGAAGTCAGCCAGCAAGAACCCTCATTCCCTTGGCCCCGGACATCCCACCTCTCAGGAACGGCTGGATGCCTGGTCCAAGTGCAGTTTCAGCTGGTCAGATGGAACCTGGTCTCCACTGGGGGTCCCAACTTCTGCACTTGCATGTTGCTGCCTCCTCTGCTCCCATCTCCCACAATTGCTAGGATGGAGCGTCTTTGAAACTGTCCTCCCCAAACCACTTCTTCAACATGTCCATTGTGCTGCTACCAGAGGCAGTTGAATAACTCCACTCCCCATCCTTGTCCCCCATCAAGTGTCTCTCCCACCACTCAGTCAAGGGAGCCCAAAGGAGGGGGAGTTGGTACATGTAGCCTGGAAGCCCCAGTCACAGCCGAACTATGCCACCCGTCCCCTCTCCAACTGCTGGGGCAACCTGGTCATCCACCGGCTGCACCCCCGCACATGCCTCACATTCCTTTGGCCTGACAGCTGGCTGGGGAACATCCTCTAGGACCTCTGGCATTGTGTCCACTCCCTCCACCACGGACTCCACTACCAGCATCTCCGGCACCATTCCTTCAGCCATCACCCTGAGGGGCAACCATCCACCTAACCAAGGAGAAGAGGAGAAAAGGAAAAACAAATGCAGCACTGACTTTCTCTCAGCCGCACTGGGCCAGACCTGAAAGAAAGGGAGCCAGGACACATACCCACAGTGGCAGAACCCAACTTTAATTCCTTCTTCAATCACAAACAGGCTGGAGCCTCAAACACAACAAGTAGGGAAACCTTGCAAAGTCAGCACTGGAAGCATCCACCTCCCAGCACTTTTTCAAGTCTCTGTCCATCTGGCTGTCCACACCCCATTGTAACCACCTTCCGGTGGCCAGCAGCAAGATCCGCCCAAAGCGAGACGCTGTGGAGGACCACCAGTCAGCTGGCCATTGCAGGCTCTAGCACAGGGTTTTGGCAATGCGGTTCTGCCCAAAGCAAGATGCTGTAGAGGACCGCTGGTCAGCTAGGTGTTGCAAGCTCTATCGCAGGGTTCCAGAGGTGTGCCTTCATCCAATGCCGGGACCACCGCTGTTGGTACACTTTGCCACTTGTCACCCCTGCTGTGCAGCACCCCCACTGCACAATTGGCAGCAAACGTCCTGGCCGTTTAGCACCATCAGACATGGAGCTGCCGGCGATGAGTCGCTGCCTCCGCATTCTCCCCCAGGTATGGCGAGCCCCAATCCGTGGCTTAACAGGAGGCCTTCCAGGCCCAAAATGGGGCACAGGAGGGCACGTGCATGCGCACGAATCCCCAAAATGCAATGTGAGCACCCCTGCACATGCGCCTCCCCTGCACGCACCCTGCCCACTGCACATGTTTGGCAGAGACCTGAAAACCAGCTGGCTGGCAAGAGGCATGCATGCATGCATGGTGAAGCTGGGCTGGAGCAATGGCTGGCATGCCCACAGAGAGGGCTCTGTGTGCCAATTGTGGCACATGTGCCATAGGTTCGCCATCACAGGTCTATAACGAAGAGGGAGGGTCAACCTATTTTCCAAATCACCTGAAGATAGAACAAGAAGCAATGGATGGAAATCACGGAAAGAACCAACCTAGAACTAAGGAGAAATTTCTGATAGAACAATTATTCCGTGGAACAACTTGCATCCAGATGTTATGGATGCTCCAACACTGGAGGCTTTTAAGAAGAGACTGGCCCACCATTTATCTGAAATGTTATGGGGTTTCCTAATTCAGCAGGAGGTTGGGCTAGAAGAACTCCAAGGTCTTTTCCCAGTTATTTTTTTCTGTTCATAATTGCCTCCACTTTGACTAAAAAGCCCCAGCTCTAGCAGAAGAAAAGCAGGCCCAAAACTTTATACTGCCACCACCATTCTTCCCTGTGACTTTATGCACTACGTTTTGCGCTAAACATAGATTTTTGAATTTCAAATGTTCAGCCTTGATCTTCAGACCATAATCCCACATTTTTCCAAATGCTTTTTTCAGACTTGATGTAGTGTTTTGTTTTTTTTCAAAATGTGACCAGGCTTGGATGTTTTTCTTTGTAAGAAAAGGCTTCCATCTTGCCACCATGTGGTACCACAGTCCAAACATATGAAGAACAGAGGAGATTATTGTCACATGTAATAACAACCAATATTTGTCAAAACTTCCTGCAGTTCCTTTAATGTTGCTGTTTTTGACAATCTCAGACCAGTTTTTTTATTGTTTTTTCATAAATTTTGGAGGAACATCTAGTTATTAGTAATGTCACTGTTATGCCATGTTTTCTCCACTTGTTAATAACTGTCTTCACTGTGTACCGTGGTATATTAAATATCTTGGAAACTTTTTTGTACCCTTTTCCTTACTGATACCTTCCAATGAGATCCCTTTGATGCTTGTAAGTTCTTTGCAGACCATGCCTTGTAAGAAACAATTGAATAATGTCAGAAAAATCCTGCTAGCACACCAGATCTTTATGTAGGCTTGATCAGTGCCACTTTAATTGATGGCAGATGTGTAATGGCTACTATTTAATGTCAGTTTGGATGTGATTGGTTAATTCTAAACATGGTCACATCCCTACTTATAAGAGGGTGTGAACACTTATGGAACCACTTTATTATAAGTTTTTATTGTTATCCCCCCCTCCCCCCAAAAAAGATCTCAGTTTTTTCAATTGAATTATACAGCTTATATGTTATATTAAAGGTGGAAAAAATTCTGAAGTGATCATTTATCTTGCTCTGATTTTTTTACATCTCAAAAACCTGGCATTTTAATAGAGGTGTGCAGACTCTATGGCCACTATAACATAGTGATTCCTGTGGATCTTTGATTAATTTCGATTCAGAGGTACAGAATGGTCTGAAAATCAGGAATATAAGGGCTTCAGAAATTCACATTGTGCATATGCAGAATATGCATATGATTCAACAAAATACATGCCCGTGCAAAAAAATTTGCTTAAAAGTAATGTGGGAGCTTGGCCATTTTCTTGCAGGTAATCAATCATTGCATTCTGATGTTTTTCCTAATTTGCTTTATATCCACCATTTTTTGTACCAGTATTAACGTAATGGTTTGTTGTATCTTGGTACATATTTTGTAATTCAAATAGGAAACCAGCTCTGTGTGATATGATTCATCCATTAAATGAAATCTTGCAATTGTCTTCCTTCAATTAGCAATAATAACTTAAAAGTGAGCATAAATATATGTAACTGGTTTAAATCTTCATTTTGGTTCCAATAAAGATCTTCTTTGAGACTCTTAACTTATGTTTATCAGCATTAAACTTTCTTTTAGCTATGCTATTAATTACAATTGACCCAGTTAGGTGTTACAAATATTGATTAACTAACTCTATACCCCGTGCTTCGCTACTAAACTATGTGATAGGGCTTAGTTTTGGGGGAGGAAAATAAGGGGTGGGGGAATTGTGCCTCTGCCTACTATCATCCATCGGTATTCATCTGGCTAGCGTCCTATCAGTGTGGGAGAGAGTTGAGGACTGTTTGGAAACTGAAACAGTATTTGCTGTGTGAGCAAGAAGGAGACAGCAAGGAGCCTGGTGTGGCTTAGCTCAACTGTTCTGTACTAAAGCTGGTTGCTGCTCTGAAACTGAAACTGAAACTCCTCTGCTTGTGTTTTGCATTTGGAACAGATTTCTTTTCAGGTGGGGAGAGAGAGTAGAACTCCTTAGCATCAGAGCATGTTAATAATAATATATGAAATACTAATGCTCTGATGGTCATTTCAAAAAATCCTTTCTTAGTGAGTATCTAGAAGCTAAGAGGAACATATGTGCCAAATTTCAAGTTTGTAGGCTTTACGGTTCTGGAGATTTTGTGATGATGCATGAGTGGCATTTTGCATTTATATATATAGATTTATTACAAATACTTTTGCAATAAAGCCTGCACATTCTCATGCACATTTAACTTTGGAATGTTCATGCACATAGCTTTGAAATTATTTTGCAGTGTGGTGCTAATGAAAAGTGCTTTTCAGATTTTATTCAACTATACTACTGATCATGTTGTGTCAAATAATTGCAAATTATTAGATATACTCCTTGCATTTTGTCTCATTTTTCATAATTTATTGAGGATAGCTCACTCTTTCCTGTAGAGTGTAATGTATTGTATTAATTGTATTACATATACTCCTTGAATTACAAATGCCTATTTCATTTGTAACCCAAGGATTCGTGGGAGTGAATCTCGTACCTTGAATGCAATCACTCCCTCCTTTCACCCACACATTCACCAATCAAATGTGAGGTTTGTTAAGTGCACATGAGGTATTTCAGGGTGGAGAAGGCCATGGGGCGGGGGGGGGGGGGGGGTAGTGATGGAACAGGCCACCGGCTTAAGACCACACAAGGCCTCCCCGACTCAATGAAGTACCTCATGCCCTCACAATTGCTTCCCCCTCCCCCCAAAACCTGCTGCACCGGAGTCACCGTGTGAAGATCTAGCTAGCTGTCTCCTCTCCAGCCTCTCAGTCACTTGAACCTCCATTTTGGCCTGCAAATTGCTGGGCAAGATCTGCGCACGCCAAAACAGAGCATCGGAGGGGCATGCCCCACTCTCTCCAAACCTCCGTTTTGGCCTGCGGAGTGGAGGGGAATAGGTAGGATGAATGTTGCAGAGCCTCTGTGGTTGTTCGTAAGGGCAAACAATTGCCGTGGTGCAGTAACATTCTTAGTTTCAGGACTTGTTCCTAAACATGAGGGGGCGCTTATTGCATAACTTTGAACATTCACTAAAGGAACACTCATAACCCGGGGATTACCTGTAATTATTATTATTATTATTATTATTATTATTATTATTATTATTATTATTATTATTATTATTATTATTTTTACAGATATTCACAAGACAGATCGATTTATGCCTCTCTCTTTTTTTTTACAGGCAACAATGTAGTTAGCCTTTTCCACGTGGCAGATGACCTGGGCCGAGCAATGGAAACCTTAGTGACAGTGATGACTGACAACTAATTAGTAGAATAACAAGTTCTGTTTTACAACTTCAGGCATAACCTGCATGGTTTTTATAATATTCATATGAGAAAGAATTAGACTGTAAGAGTTTACATGAAAACAAATCTATATTTTTGTGAAGGATAGTGGTACTATACTGTAGATTTAAGTAGTTTCCTAAGTCTGTTATTGTTTTGTTAACAATGGCAGGTTTTACACATCTATGCAATTGTACAAAACAAAAAAAAAACTACATGTAAAATCTTGACAGCTAAATAACTTGCCATTTCTTTATATGGAACGGATTTTGAGTTGTTTAAAAAAATTTATAGCTATTATAAAGAAAGGCTGTAAACGAAGTGTGCTTTATAAAAATGTTTATATAAATCCCCAGAAAAACACAGAAAAAAAATGAGACAGTGCATTTGTTTAGCATCACTTCAACTTGGTAATTATACCCAACAGATATTCATGTTCTGTGTTCTTTTCCTTAAAGTCAAACAGAATTTCTGCAACATCAGTCAGCCTACATTTCTTCTTGCATCTGACTAGCTCTTGCTTTAAAATTATTATTTTCCAAAACTTCCAGTTGATGCAGTTTTCCATGTCCTGAGCAAGTCTTACTAGAATTATCCAGCTAGATGGCAATAATATGAAAGAGCACATTACATGACAAATATCAGAATTTGCAGAAAGTAAGACAAATTGAACCTATATTCTAAGCTCTTGTTATTTCCTCTCTACTTTGGATCTGAATGTTAAAAGTAAACACAAAATAGAAATTGCCTTATTGGATTATATCAGTGGGCTTAGGTGTCCTTATCCTGCCTCTGGCACTGGCCAGCACCTTAATGTTTCAAAGTAAAAATACAATTTGCTTTCATGCCCTGTGATGCCACTTTTTATCAGATATTCTGCATCTGTGTGTGTATTAGGATGAAGACTTGTCTATAGATACTAGTCTGTGATCTGCTTAATCTTTAGATTATTCATATTATTATTTAATATTTCATTTTTATAGAAGAAGTATTGAGTATTGAAAATTGCCTAAATATTTTAAAACACACAAAGCACTAGTTTTTGCCTTGTAACAAATTCCAAGGAGCCACACAAGTTTCACACCAACAGTAATAAAACTGAATAGTGTGGCACAATGGTAAACATCAACTCTATCAGCTGCTTAAAGTAGCCACACTGCTTCATGAGAAGCTGGTTGTCCAAAATGAAATCCAGCAATCCTACTCTACAAGTAATGTCGCACAATTAACAATGACTCGGGAGAGGGATGGTAGAAAACAGATGTTAGAAAACAGTCTCTCAAGTTTACTATTATAAAATGTTGAGGTGCTGTTAACAAAACCTTCACCGTTTTCTTTTTTTCCACCAGCCTTTAATTCCATTGTCTAAAGACAGATTTTTACCATCTAATACATTTTAATACTTTGCAAAAGTTAAATCTGTTACTTCTTGTATGGTATGATTAAAACCAGGGGAAAATATATATATTTTTAATGCTAGTTAACATTCAACATGGTAGTCATGTTATTTCTACCTCACTTTTGTTTTATGGTGTTCCTGACAATTATGTAGAGAAGGTATGCATCATCAACCACTTATCCATTGTGTAAACTGGTGTTCTTTTAATACCAATACAGTATAAAACATTTAAAATTTAGTAACTCGCAAAGAAAGTCCATACATTTTCATGCTTTTTAAAAGACTTTGAGCACAATTCAGTCTAGAATGAGCACAGTGATTACCCACAAATAAATTAGTCTAGAGTTTTAAAAAACCCTATTTCCTACTCTTTCTTTAGTGAGTCTCATGTGCATCTCCCTGAAACAACAAATTTCCTTTTTCATTCAGGAATGTTTTCTTCACTTCTGGGGATTCACACTAAGATGATTATTAAAAGGCTCTGTTACATCCTATACAAATCCTTCTCTTTGCAAAGTCCGCACTAATGCAATGCTAGACTGAATCATAGGCTTATTTACGAATGAATAACCTATATATTTCATAGCCTTTATGTAAGATTTTATAGATTCAATTATAGGATGGGATTATTTTTTTCTTTTATGCCTTTGTGTTTAAAGTTCTCTTTTAAAAGATTTGAGACTAATAGAGTGCACAACTATTTTCATCAGAGTTATTTCTTTTTTAGACATTAGATTTGAAGTGGATCTGTCAAAAATATTTAAAAGAGTTTAAGAGCTTTATTGCTGCTTTTAAAGAGTTTCTTTGGAACTACTTCATGTTCCTTATATCCATACACTACTAAACTATAAAACATTTTCAGCATAACCGAATAATGTCTGGCATATTATACCCTTTTCATGCAGTACTGATTTATTACTTGGGTATCATATATTGTGTTCTAATATCAACACTGTAACATTTACTAATTATTTTTATAAACTTCAGTTTTACTGCATTTTTCACAACATATTGAATTTCACCAAATATATGCCTTACTTACTGTATTATATACTGCTTTACTGTGTATATCAATAAAGCACGTAATTATGTTATAAAATGTGGCATTTTTACTGGTATAGCAGCACTGGATTCTTCTACAGGGGCATCAGTAGGAACAGAATAGGAGGGAGAGAAGCTGCAGGATTACATCATCTGTGATGCATATTTGGACATATATTTATTTTAACTTGCACTTTGGAGTCAAACAATGCTATTAAGTTTCATTTGAGAGGGAGACTATTCTCCCTCTCAAAAAAGCCACAGAATGATAAACAAAACGGCTTATTTTCTCTTAAGAGAAAATTATCAATCATTTAGTGGACATCCAAAACATACAATTACAACTGCACAGAGAGCAGTTGTACATCTGGGCTTGCATGTAATATCTGTCAGCAATTTCTTAGTCAGGTATTCCAGAGATAGTATTGTGGCTGTGAAACTGCTTTATAGAGTTGCTGATAAATGCTGCTTTCCCCCTTAAATGGTATAAAGCCCTAATATATAACAGACTAGTTATGGGACCCATGATGAATTATAGGTAGTTCTTATTTAGCAACTGCCTCATTTAACAACAGTATTCAGTTACATCAGTGAGAAAAAGATAACTTTGTCACAAGTTCTTGCATTTATGACTTTGTGTAAAACAAAGGAAAGCTGAAATGATCATAAATACAGTTGCAGTTTCACTAAGCGATTGCTTTGCTTAAGGACAGAGTTACTGGTCCCAGTTGTATTAACTAAATGGGGACTACCTAATACCTATCAAGTTGCAATAAATAAACAACTACACATGTAAGTATTAAAAGAACTTTTAAGAAACTTGCTGAAATTTATTTATCAACCCTAGAAAAGACAATCTAGACCATACAGTTTAGAAAACCCAAGCAAGTAATTGAGGTGCTATAAAAAGTTAAGTGTCACAGGAAGGAAGTCTACACAGCAAGGAAGCCCGAAAGCCAAACTAAAACCTACACAAAAACTAGCCAAAATTTTCTCCAATCTTCATCATTCCAGACTTAGAATCAAATTCAATAAGAAAGAAAAAATATTCAAACATTGTAACACAGCTTAGTATATTTCTTCAGAATAAATTTAGATTTAAATCAGAAGTGTGTAGTGCATTAAGGTGAATGATCTTCCAGTTGACTATAAAGAAGACATGCTTGATGGAAACTTCTCTATGTATGAAAAATATATATGTGTGTGGATCTTTGGTTATTCGGGTTTTCTCCCGCGTAAGATTGGAAGTATCTAGGCAACGTTTCGATGAAGTCTCATTCATCATCTTCAGGCTTCTGTCTTCAGCTCTGTGCTTCTCACTGTGAATATATATATATTCTTAAGTTTTCGCGGGTACTTACATGTATGGCCTTCAGCTTTGTTCGGGTATTTTCCCACGTCATAGTA